AATCGATTAACTTTTTATTTTTTTATTTTTTTTTGGTACTCAATTCTCTATAATGTGTATGCGATTATACTGTCTATTACAAATGTATTAATATAAAAAATCGAAAGTTTTTTTTTTACATTTTTTTTTTTTTTGAATAAGAAAAGACTTGAAATCGCGCGCGCAAGCTGCAGTTTTTGAATGCGTTTGTATGTACATATCTAAATATATTCGGTTTAAGTACTTATAGTCTAGGCCGATTTGCGTCGTTAGGTGACTCTATGTGGGTCAAATTGGAGCGGACCGTCGCCGGCCGCAAAGTCCAAAGCCTACACCAGTTCTCTCTCTACCTCTCTCTCTTCCCTTTGATATTATCGATTCAGACTGCACGGTGCGCTCCCGGCTGCTACCACTGCTGCACGACAGCCGTTTGCGTACATGCTTCCCGCGATATGACAAACAGCATGACGCAAGCGACGCCTGCAACGTCGCCGATATAATGCACATGTGTCGTTGATACGGCACGAAACGTCAAGACGTGTTTTCGAACGTCGTTATAACGATCGTAGTAGACGCAAGAGGTAAAGCAAAGGCGAAGGGTGCGAATATTGGCCGAGACCGAGGGAAATGCCAGTATCGTACGTCCTTTCGATATAGAATGCTCTAAGAAACGACGTATATCGCAAGCTAAAATACGATACCTACACACATATATATATGTATGTGTGTGTGGGTGTGTGTGTGTGTATGTATATATATATATATATATATGAATTTAGATCGATGAATTAATCTAATTAAAAAAGAGAAATACTATATTCGATCAAAACAGATCTCAGTACTCGCTTAATATTTATTATATGAAATTATATACATATTTGATTTTGTGCAACTGCGCAATATTTGTCGGTCTTTAAATGCATTTATGAACAGAACCAGAATATCACTTATTAAATTGATGAGAAATTTAATAATTTTTTGATGCTAATGAGCTTTTTTTTATAAGAATATTAATAATAAGATAATCATAAATTAAAAAAAATCTAAATAATTTTATTGTGAAAAAATACTCCATGCCTGAATTATTATGTGACGAAGAAAATTTCGTTATTCAATCAATACGCGTCACTTTTGAGACATTTTAAATCGAGTTTTTGGCGGAACTCATATGAAGTTGAAGGCATTAATCCTAAAATACTTTCTGAAAAATTCTGAAAATACTATAGATCTGAAAAACCCACTAACTTTAATAGGTTGTAACTTCGGTTGAGATTAATATTTTTAGACTCCCTTTTTTATTTTGAAGCTCTGAGATTTAGGTATATACTTGCAATTCCAGAAAGTGTATTGTCAGATTATGAAATAAAACTCTCCTTTTTTCTTCCTTTATGTACGGAGCAAGCAAAATTTTGATTGGGTCTGAGAGACCTATTATGTGTGTTTTAGAATTAATCCTCGGAGAGAAACAATGCACATGAATGCGGGATAATTATTTTTCTAACGCGAAGGGAAGGCGTATATAAAGTACATGTCTCGAAAGGTATGAACTTTTGCTGGAAATGTGATGAAAACACGCGTTTTCTCGATGTGCAGAAAATACGTTGTCTCAGATCCCAGCGGAGCGTGAGAGCTTATATTAGATACCAGACGCGACGACACAGTGCATTCTCGCGGATGTCCCGGTAAGAGGAAACGACAAGAGAGCAGGGTCGACCAGCAAAAGAGAGAAATATTCTAACCATCAACGATATCGGAAGCCATTACGCGCATCGAACAACGAACATGCGCAACAAAACCGCTCGCTGCGCCTGTCGACTCGATGAAATCATCTGCCATTAAAGTGCATGACCTAGTCCACGACCAGAGATCTTTCGTTCATCACGGAGGTGAATGAAAAGGCAAGAAAAAAGAATTCGCCTCGGGGAACGCGATACGTTGAATCGGCGTTTCAGCGGAGATTTCTAATTCCGTTGTGGCTTTAAGTCCTGATTTTTAAGTAAATTCATGGAAATGTTTGTGAGATGCAATTGCATAAAAGAAACTTGATGATCTATCACACGACGTTAATCCGACGTTAATCAGTTAAAAAAAAAATTGTATTCTAATTTTCCTCGAATTTACGAGCGTATGCTGTCAAAATCGATTTCTCAAATTCACATTTGCTCTGTTAATCCTCTTAATGGACTTTACGTTTGTGACTATTTTTCGGCTTTACGGAAATGATTACAGAGAATTTCATTTGACTAATAATCGTTGCAATGTTATGTATCCAGTTCGATTTGTGTATATTGGAAATGGAAAAAAGACAATGGGAAAAAAGACGATTTTAAAAATGTACGATTTTATTGAAATAATTATATTGTATAATAATTATTGAAATTATAATTATATTTATATTTAAAAAAAAACAATTTTCCGAATGTATAATTTTATTAAAATTCTACATTATTTTGATAAAATTATAACTCTAAAATTATATTCGGAAAATTATTTTCTTTTTAAATATAAATACAATTATATAATAATTTTTTTATTGGTTTAATTTTTACTTAATATTAATTATAATTATTACATTTTTAATATAAATATTATTATATGTATAATGAAATGTTAGAAATTATTTATTATTAATATTCCTCTTGCATATAAAATAATTTATACTCTATATATATATATACAATATATATATATATATATTGTGCGTGCATGTGTGTGTGTGCGCGCGCGCGCGCGCGTGTGTGTGTGTGCGCGCGCGCGCGCGTGTGTGTGTGTGCAAACAAGTCAATGAATTCATCTTGCAATATGTACATTCACATATTTGAAATACTTACATATCATGAAATGTCTGTGCATCAAGAACGCGGAGCTGCATTGCGAACTTGTAAACGTCACATGCATCGCTTATGCATTTTTCCGAGATCTAGCACAAGTATTATGTACGGATGGATTTTTTCCGTTACATAAGGAAATAATGGAGACCAGCGTGTACGCTTTCAGGACTGACGTAGAAGTGTACAGAGCAGAGGCGTTTTTATCGAGCGACCAATGTAATTGTAAAAAAATGTTATTTATATTAGACTGCTCCGTGGAGTCCGCAAACGAATGCTTTGCACTTTAGAAGTCTGGCGCAAATTTTATTTTCGGTAAGAGACATTTCTGATAAAACTTTGTCGGCCGATATTTTCAACGTCAAATATCTCGTCGATCGCGGCTAGGAAAAGAGGAAAGGTCCATCGGCGACACAGCAAAATGTCGAGGCGAGCACGAACTCCAGCGATGATGTTCTCTGAAATAGCTCCATGAATGGCCCGAGATTTTCCATCGTCACCATTGCGTTTCGCAAACGTTGAGAGAGAACAAGAGCAAAGAGAAAATGTGTTAAATAAATGACGATTATTTAATTTCGTACAAAAGAATTGCTGCCGCGCTTTGTAACGCAAACAATTCACGCGTGATGCCCCCTCAACATTCCGAATTTTATCTTCGGTATAGCACACTGAATTTTTACGGCCTTATTGCGGCGTATCTATGCGCGAATGCATCGAAGTTTTCGTATGACTTCGTACAATATACACCCGGGAATGTTTTATCGAAGGTATAACTAAAAGCGCCTCTCAACCTTTATTTCACGAAGCGGATGTAAAATGTCTGGCTCGTAATGCGTGCAATAACAGCTGTTATTACATATGCTGCTGTAAAACCATTTAATGAGAGAGAATAAAAGCCGCATAACTGCATAATATACGAAAAAAATTAATATCGTTGCTTTCATTTTGTTCTTTCACATAAATGTCGGTATCAATACGCCTATTCTTCAAATGTAACGTTATTGTTTAAACAGCGAATAAATTAATTGAAATTAACAAAGGTGTTTATCCTAATATCAAGCGCGATTGCACATGTATTGGCATGAACGGATAATAATAATAGGCTGATACTTATCGTATTACGCGGGCATTCACGAATCATCGAATTATATAATCATGGTGAAGCTCGCTTGGAAACGAAACAAATGCGATATGTAATTGCATATAAAGTGAAAAATTATTCTAATAGAAAATGAATTCATTTATACGCCGAGCGAATAAATTGCACTTTTATCAATATGTGAACATATCGCATTTGACTGTGCGAGCAACGTTTTTTATATCGTACATGATACAAAATAACGACCTCGTGATCGTCTACAAAAATCGCATTAATTTCGAGAAGCAACTTTTTGAAAAATCTGACCGCATAAGTTTTAATTAAATATTTCAATCAATTTAAATTGTTATTGTCGTTGTTGGTACTTTTAATGCGTTACTGAGGAAAACAATGTTCGTCGCAAAATTACATGAAAAGAACGATTTTACTGAAGTATCTAAAAATTTACCTAAATTGAGATCTGAAAATAATTTTGTTTGAACCATCAAAAATAATAATTATGTAGGATGCTCGAAGTGATTGCTAGAATATTAAAAGCTTTTTTGTCAACAATGCTTCATCGTTCTACATAATTATTTTAACAAAATTATTTTCAGATCTCTACCTAGTTAAATTTTTAGATACTTCAGCAAAACTATCCTTTCCACGTAAAAAACAATATTATAATATTAACGTTGTTGATATTTTTAAATGTTAATCGTCAACGAAAGCAACTTTTGTAATGCTACAAAAGGATTTAATATTTAAAATTACACAGAAAAAATAGTTCTGTTGAAATATCTATTTAACTAAATATTGATCTGACAATAATTTTATTTGTATCATCAAAATAACTACTCATGTACAAACTAATTGCTAAAATAAAAATTAAATTAAAACTTTTTATAGCATTGTCATTAACGCGTCTTAAAAGCGTTCTGCATAATTATTTCAACAAAATTATTTTCAAATTATAATAGTATTTAATTCAATTTTTAGGTATTTCAATCAAACTGTCTTCTCCGTGTGAAAATAGAAATCTTTCCTAATCGTATTTTCTGAAAATGCCTTTCGCTGTTAACTGCATCTAACCATTTCCACGTTTCTGTGTTTAGTACCCATATCACACATCGTGGCACTGGTCGGAGATTCTGCCTATCTTCCCTGCGACATATCAACCACTCACGAAGGGGACTCCGTGCATCTTGTGCTCTGGTATCGCGAGGATCTCGGTACATCAGTTTACAGGTAAAGTGCAATCAATCCGTACACAGGCGAACGTGCGCACACGCTGGACATACATAGGACACGCACGTATGTACAGCGATTTGCAAGCTACTGCTGCTACTGGTCGTAACAGGAACGGATTACAAACAGCCCGTCGGCACAATGTGAGATTGGTAGTCCGCTTTTATCCGAAATTGTCTTCGAATTCGATTTTCCTCCTCGCTCGGCTCAAAGAATGCATATCGTGTTTGCGATCAGGAGTCATCGTTGAATATTGCATAAGTATCGATTTGTAGGGATTGTTAAAAAAAAAAGGAGACGAAGCGTCGGGACATTGTCGAGAAACTGCGCAATTAGCATTTTCATAGGCGTGACAAATTAATTATATTGAAAATGTGATAAAAAATTATGTTAGTGTTATCATTATTATATATTATTTATTATTGTTATCACTGTTGTCACATTAATACTGTATTGCATGAAAAGTCGTGCGGTTGTATTAGTATTTATATCCCTGATCAATTATGCAGTGTCGACTCGCATTCTGGTAGAAACAGGGGAAGGTTCAGAATGACACCTTTTTAATCGCTGTTTTGGATTCAGTCCAAAATAATATGGATTGGATTTCGCGGTTGTGTTATGTAACTCGTTACATCGTGATGCACATACTAATGATAGGACAGATAGTATCGCGATGTAATCGAAAATATATATGTCTACGAAAAATGTTAAAAAAAAAAAGAAAAATGAGAAAGAGTGAGGGAAGAAGGAAAAGAAAAAGTGTAACGCAAATATTTTGCGCTTGCACATCGCGAGTGCCCGCGCCGTTATTTGGAGTATTGCGAACAGATTTAAATGTTTTCTATGATTTTGCATCAGATTTTAATTACACGTCACATATGCTGGCCGTCAGATCGTTTGCTGGCGATATGGTCGAACCGCTGCGCGGTTTTTCCGTGCTCGCCGGGGAAAATACGATGAACGCGTTCGTAGATAACGAAATTTCGCGACAGTTTCATCGTCGCGTAAACGCCGACGCGGCGTCTTAACCGAGTTAATCCCAGTGAACAATAAAATTGCGTCCGCCCAGCATTTCCCTATCGCGGCGCGATTTTAATTTTCCCTCACGTACTCCATAAACTACGTGAACTATGTGGAAAACAAACAGATTGCTCCTTATCTCGAGATTTTTGCTAATTTGCATACGCGGCATTGGGATTAATTATTCCCGTCGCGTTGAAAGTATCTTAATTCAATATCGAACGATGAAATTGAAAATTATATATTCGCCAATAATTCATTTACGAAATTCATTAACACGTTATTTGTCTAACGAGTTTTGCACGTTTTATACTAAGAGAAAAATTTTTGATTTTTGTGACTATATTATCATTATTATTACTGATATAATATTAATTACGATTATTACTATTACAATAGTTTTATATATATTTGTTGATAGAATTAGATATAATTTGAAAATGATCATAATTACTAGTTATTATTAACATAAAAATGACTAAAATTATTTAACTAATAAATAATTTAATCATAATTTATAGTCACTTTTTGGATCAACTATATTTAATATTGTTTCCAAGTATATATGTATATGATTTGGTGATAGACCTATATTATATCTAATTCTAAAATAGTTATTATTATTAATATTATAGCAGTATAATTATGATAATATGTAATTATAGTCACAAATATTAAAAATTTTTCTTTAATATACTATTTGCACACCACAATATAATTTTTTACAGAATGTTGAATAGCAAATAACATAGATAATTACTATTACCTAACTATTTATGTCATTCGCCATAAAGAATATACCATTTATATTCAATATTATATTTCATTGTTATATTTTCTGATAATGAATACATTATACTGTGACGTACGCAGTAAGACACGTAAAACTCGTTAAGCAGACAATGTGTTAATGAATTTCGCGAATAAATTGTTCGATGTCAAAATTATTCGGTACTTAAAATTTCATATTATTAAATTTTATAATTACCTTTTACAAGCATTTCAAATAACTTCGATAAGCAACTACAAGATTGCCACTAAGAATTACAGATGACTACCACGGCAACCGAAAGTAATAGAAGACAAGTTGAGTATTGCAAACTGTCGTCAATAATTTTGTTAATACTATTAAAGTGAGAGATCAATCAGTCGTTTTCACCACGACGACAACAAGTTCAAAGGCAAGAGCAATCGCCTTTGTTTTGACGCTCGTCCGACCAAACGCTTGTTTCTCTCCTTGACTCGCACAGTCAAGTCACCTAGTCGTTTCGAACAAGTCTCATGGCACCATTGTCACGCTCCGGACGTTTCGAAGTTGGGATCGTTTCGCGTTTCGCATGTGTATTTCTCGTTGAGATCGAATCTCGCTTTGCGACTTGGCATTGACAATATCGAATAGAGAACGATCATTGTATTTTTCACTGTGTTCCTCTTCGAAATACGTCTGTACGTACGAATTGTGATCGCGTCGATAGTACAATCAAGTGCTGAATCTTCCATGAATCAATTTCATAGGGAATTTAAATAACCGAAGCGTGATGATTTCGGTATTGATAATTTGATGTGCAGATCTACAACAGAGCTAAAACTAGACATATCGGTTTGTCCGAGGCAAAAGAAAAAAATGCGTCCCTTAGTAACAAAAAATTTCTTTTACAACGTGTAAAATATAACGAGAAATAATATTAGTCGTCGTTAGTAGCGAATGAATTGAAATATATAGAAATTTATATCGCCATTTTTGCATCCCTTCCAAGCAAACACCAACTACATGTAATGTATCTGTTAGTTATATGTTTCCTACTCAACAATATAACTGTAATATAACGCGTTTATATTATAATTATATTAATGGAGTATTATAACTAATAAGTACGTTACATGTAACTTTGAGTTTGCTGAGTTTAAATTTTTTACATGCGGCAAGTTAGCCACATTCTAGTTCCAGATCCGATATTGAGGACTTACAATTAAATGCGTTAATATGAAAAATTCGTCGTCGCACATACAGAGAGCGGAATAAAAATGGCGAGCGGTAAGTAGCTTAGTTTTTTAAAAATGGAGAAGAATCGTAATCAGATATAGAAAGAATTTACGAACGAGAATCACAAAGCGAACGGAAGGTACAAATAACTAATTCATCCCGCAGCTCTCGTTAATCCTTTGGCAAATCCTAACTCTATTTTAGATCCTCGCTTTTTATTAAAATTATTGTACGCCGACGTTGTATTGCATTTTTCATAAACAAGCCTCTCTATCTGCAACGCAGATTAGCAGTGGCTGTATTATGGTTAAGCACTTAACGGTGTGCTTAACATGCAACTCTCGCCCCCGCCCACACCATTATCCGCTTCCTTTCATAGAAAAGCAGAAACGCCGGGCTGACGCTGGAGTGTCCTCAGCTCGCGATTTTAAAATCCTTTTCAAACGTTACGATACACGTACTAAGAAGCTCGTCACGCTGTAGCGTAACGGATCTTAAAAAGCAGGAAAAATAGCAACGGCATTTTAAGCGGATTCGTTCGTTCGAATGCTGCGTGGATACGCGTTTATTCGCGGCGTTAAGTAGCGAAATACTTGCATTTTCCCAAACAATAACAATCGAGCGAATGGGGAATATGAACGACACGCCGGATCCGATATTTGCAATCCGGAATGTTAATAACATTCGCATTAATCGCGCAGATCAGCAGAATTTGAGAAATTTTATTTAAAAACTGCAACGCAATCCGTGTCACATCATGTAAATCATTAGGCGGTAATTAACGGCGAAAGAGAAACGCAATCGCCGTGAAATGAAATCAATTATAGCTGTATAATTATTACAATTTGATAGCGTTCATGGCTTGAAATAATGATTACCCGTATATAATGATCAGCCGAGGAACTTTAATTATGTGCCAATTACAACGGCCGCGATAACGCGCCGGGGTTAGAACGCGATTTAAACTATGCAGTGGGAAATCCCTCGTGGATTTTAATTTATTCCTTCGTGTGGACTGATGAATTCGTCCATGGCTGCCGGTTGCGGTGGAACAACGCTCATAAACATTAATCGAAATTACCGCGGTAATGACACCTGCCGTTAAAATCATCCGAACCGCACGTATCCTTTAAAATTAAGCATCAACTCGTCCGATTGATAATTGACAAATGCAATACGAGTACATGTCCGCGTATCGATGAAAAATCGTTAAAGTCTATGCAGCGAAATCCGTTTGCGATTTTTTTTTGTGCCTTCAATGCCAAAATTTCGATATTCAAAACGTCAGGATTGAATGAGCGGCCAGATAGTACGATAGATTTTCTCGTTAAAAATATATCACTCATCTCTAAAAATACATTTATTTTTGCGTATTTTATTATATCTTAAATACATATATCTTTAAAGCTTACTTTAACCTAAACTCTATTTTGAAGTAGGAGCCATTTGAAATTAATTGAAGAATGATTTTATTACCTCTCATCTTTATTAGAGCTTAATTTATTGGAAATTCTTTATTTTTGATATCTATTTAGAAACTATAAATGTCGCGTCATCTTCTTTTAAGAAAGATTAACGATGAAAGTGTCAAAAAAATTATCATTAAGAAAGTAAAAATAGAAGGCAAAAATAGAACACTCTGTTCAGTGTCTTTAATGTCAGACGCCTAGCGTCTTTGCAGAACTTTTTACGCCATTTTAAATATCCTTGTATCGAATCAAATGGCTTTGAGCGAAGCTCGTCCGATAAAAAAATAAGATCTCGCGACAAAAACGCGAAAACTTCGTTGTATGACGGGATCGCGCGTGGAGAAAGAGAAAAGTTAGCGGGTCGGCGCAAAACCAACGACGCGACATTGCGGCGACGGGAAAATCTCTATTTTACGGGAATGGTAAAACAATCGGTTTTGCAGTCCGTTTTCTCAGTGCAAACATTCCCCACATTTTGTGTTTACAACATTTCCCGTAACGAGTATTTTATCTACCATGAAATTATTCTCACTGTAATTCATCGGGCGCATTTTTCAGATATTTTCATTCGTGCTTATTATTGTAGATGACACATATCGTAAACTGTATAATGTAGCATTTCGAAAATCTGTCTGTCGGATTATTCACATGACTGTAAACGGTTGACTGCGTCATAAAATATTCTTGCAAAATGCTGTGTACATAATAATACAACATTTTACATGACCTACATTTTTTAATGACGTTACAAAAGCATTTATCTTGATGAATGGAATTTTATTCGCACTTTTTAATTCCAACACAATTTAATCTTCCGATTCGCATCTCTGAAACGGAAATTATCGCATTATCATCATCATTATTGCATACTAAATTCATTTACACGTACATTTTAATATGTAATATCAAAAGGTGAGAGAATTTATAATTTAGCGACATTAATACGATCAAATTCTCTGCTAAAATACTTTTGATACAGCTTAATATCATAAGCTCCCTTTTATCCGAAAACGGGAGAAGAGAAACGAATACGCATTCATTATAAGTATTCCTCTATATTGTTCATGAGGCGGATTGTGCATTTTTTAAAGAAGATTAACGCAAAACAGCTCACATTGCCAATACCTGACTCGCCCATTTATTATCGATATGATTTTTTGTTACAGTATTGACGCCAGGAACCGGGAATTTGGAGTTGCTGAAAGATGGTCGGACAACAGCGTATTCTCGAATCGCGCCTATTTTATGCTGGACAAGCAACCAGCACAGCTAGGCGTCGAGAACACGAGAGAAGAAGACGCCGGTATCTACAGGTGTCGTGTCGATTTTCAAATTGGCCAGACGAGAAATTCCAAAGTCAATTTAACAGTTATTGGTAAGATTTATTTATTTGAATTATTCATTTACTCGATATAAAAGATAGATATGTAATATTATATGTGTACACGGAGAGAATTTTCTTTCAAAATTTACCCTGAAAATATGGTAGTTGTGATACAATATAATATTTGGAAGATTTTTATCATGCACTTTAGTAAAATTAATCAAACTTATTTTATACTTTATTGTAGTTTTATTAACGAATGAGAGAGAATTTGCATTAAAATTTTTCGAAATACAATGTTGTTCCATAACTATCATATTTTCAAGACTTTCTCTAAGAAAAAATTCTCTCCGTGATAGATGTGTATAATAAATAGGATAGATATATGAGAAAATTTTATTGAAACTTAGAAAGCTATTTTTCATATACGTAACATTGTAACATTGTTCTAAGCAATTTAGCGTAATTATCAAAGTAACATCATTTACATGTGATTATTCTTGTTATTCAATTAAGTTTAACCAATAAATTAGACAGAATAGCTTCGTTTAATTACACGCTCTTTTAGATATGAAGAAGTTTAATTGCACACAGTCACAATGGATTGTAATGTAAATCCAAGATGGAAATTGGAAGGGTTTTGTAACTGCATATACAATAAACATTAGTGTAGTGCGGTTGGTACGAGATATGAATTTGGCAATTTCCATCTTGAATTTGCGTTATTACTCGAAATGCAATGTCGCAGAAATTCTCTGCTCAGTTTCCTTATTCTTATACGTAGAGAAAATGAGAAAATGTTCAGAAAGATTATTCCAAGTAGCCGGAGCCAATTGTAACTTTGCCAGAGCTTCTTCTTGTACGTTTTCATTAATACCCAATTAGCCGCTCGAACACGAACTACTCGACGTGTATTGCGATTATGCTAAAAATGACACGAAAGTTTTACGAGCTTCGTATAAGTACCGTCTTAAAGTTACGTGTCGCCGTACTTTCGCAACTTTACTCTTATAAAACCATCTTAAGGTATTGCGAGTGCTTAAGGCGGGAGTTATAAGGATCAACTTGAGACTCATTGTCCGAGGTCGCCGAAAGGAATCTTTACTGATATTAAAGCCATTTGATGTTTGAGAAAATATGGCAAGTGACCAACAGGTTGCAATCCAGGTTGCATCGGCGATAATTACATATTTGTCGTTTTTATATAACGTGATCTGATAAAATCCGATAAATCCGATTTATCGAACTTACATATCGGTCAAGAAAATACTTGCATAATATACAATATAATTTGCAATTATTATTGGATGTTACTATTACTTTTATTTTTGTAAAATTCAACTTCTTGAACGTTTTAACAAAATTTCGATTTTTACTATCTTTTCATATAAAAAGGTTTAATTAAAATGCATAGATTTAAAATGTCATCTTGTCTACCTCAAGTTGTCATAAGCTCTGGCAAAAATTTTAATTAGAGCGATTTAAAAAATGTTTTTTTTTTTCTTTTTCAAATTATGTTTTAATATTACGCCTTATACTTCTGAACTACGTTTCTCGTTGTCGTTCGACATGACGGGCATTTTCAGCGCGCCAACAAAAGAATCATAAAACAGCAATTAAGCAACGTAATAAATTCGAAATAAAGTAAGCTACCATCGAGCAAGCATATACGACAACGGGAATAGAGGAGAGAGAAAAAGAGAGAGAAAGGGGGGAGAGAGAGAGAGAGAGGAGACAGAGGTCAAGAAGAGAAAAAGGAATCCAATTAACATCCTGTTGAAAAGTTATGAAAACGCCAACGGGATAGTACGCGTCACCTCGGGATTCGCCGTTACCCGGCATGTGCCAAGGAATTTTTCCTGCGGGGTAATTAGCTTCCCTAGCCCTTCTGACTCGCCGACATTTCACACGTCCTTGCTACGAGCTTGTAGACACTCCAACCGTTGGTAAACCTTTTCCAGATGAACGCCAATTAACGTGCCTTTACTCTCATCGCGTTTTCACCAGTGAAATTGCACATCATTCTCTCGTTGGTTTCCTTTTTTTCCTTCACAAAAGATGTTACAAAACAATTGGACGAATATATTTTTCTTTCGCGTCTGAGAAATATAGAGCCAGTCTATTGAAATTCAGATCCATATGATCCATTCAGATCCTATTTGAAATTAATTGAAAAATGCAACTTTATCGCGAGTTTTTAATTTGGGCAAGCGCACACTGTAGGCTAAAGTGTCGATCGACTGTTGTGTCGTTTATGGAAAACAATGGAAAAAAAGTGTGTCATACCCATGTATATGATTACTAACATTGTCAAGGACTTTTCATAAACAATACAAAAGTCGATCAACATTTTATCTATCATAAAAGATGTGTCCTAAAAGAAAGACCGATATTTTTAGCCAGTTTTTATTTTATGGTTGTCTTAAGTAATATCTTAAAATGTTAATACGTTAATGTTAATATTCTGTAATTGACCTGTATATATCACATTTTAAGAGACTACACTTTAGCGGTTAAATATATATAAGCATCGACTACGAGTATCGATCAAAAGCAGTAACATTGCTAAAAGTATATTGATGCACATGATCGCGATCATGTTGCGTCATCGTGTTGAAGAGAGTCTGCTCGCGAGATAAGTGAAAATGGGAACGCCGTTATATGTTGCACTCATGGAATTTAAATCGGTCTCCTTTACAATCGTGTTCGCGTTCCATCACATATTTGCACGTCGCAACCGTCAAAGGCTCGAGCCTTTGCATCGGAACTGGCGAGGCGAGAACGAAGTAAGGATATATATTCGAATCAGATGTACTGTCGCGACAATGTCAGAGAGAGTATAGTGGATGAGGGAAAGATGGCAGCGACTCGACCATTAATAGTGTGAATTTGCTTTCTTAAGATCATATGTTTTGTATCCGGAGATGTACGACAAAACAGATCTATTAAAATTAAACTAAGTTTTTAGTAAATGCAAAAGTAGACAAACATTTCTTTCATCGAAAATACATTCAATATAAACGTATTACAAAATTAAAGAAATATCTTTTTATTTTTATTATTTAAAACATAGTATGAAAGAAAAAAAACTCAAATAAGCATATAATTAAATATATTATAATAAACAATAATATATTCTTCCCTTTATTTTAAAAATGGCACATTTAAAAAAAATTTTTAAATGATCACGTAATATCGCACAAAAATAATATATTCTTAATATATTCGAGTGTTATTTTTATCATTTTTGTTTTGTCATCTTTTTTGAGTTGTGACAACTGTAAATCATTCTTTTTATGATAATTTCGATGATTTGTTATGAAATGTTAGTTTATTTTTTATGATTGATAAAATTATTTATTTCAAATTGGAATATAACTAATTATACACTGTATTGTATAATATAGATATTCGCTTTAATCCAATAGACAAGATTATTTCGAAGTCTCCTTGTCGACGCCACAGACGTTCGTAAATATCCAATCTGTCATATTTTTCGCCGAGAATACCGCTGTATCGCGACGGACTGCCTGAGTTACCGTATTGAGGAACTTTGTGTTTGACAGTGGTTTCCAACAAAAAAATAAAGAGAATAAAGGAGGGTGAAAAGTTTTGTACAGACGGGAAGCAGACCTTTGACCCGACGTTAAAGCTTTGGTAAACGAGAGCATTTATCGTAGCAAGACGCTATGTCCCCTTTCGGTCGAACAAGAAATACAAGGTATTCCAGTTCCGAAAGTATAGAATGTAATTCGATAAATTTTCCGCGCGGTACTGGCGATTTCACGAGGTCCATACCTCGCAATTCTGTCAGCCAATATTGACATTTCAATGTGGATAACGCGCGCGCAAGCACACATAAATTTTGTGTATTTTATAATTTTGCAGAATAATAATGATACACGTTATCGAAAAACATTTGCAATTATTTCATTGCATATTATTTAATATAATTATTGAATTAATGTTTTTCGGCTATTAATTACTGCAGGCGTAACGATGTTCATAATTTAATTATCATGTAATGAAACAAAACGGTTTCCTATCTCGTATTTAATTTTAATAAAATTGAGATTATGAATGATTAAAAAAAATTTTATATTGCAATAAAAAAAGATAATAGCTTAAATATGATCCCGAAGCGGTACCTAAAGCCCGCTTAACTCGGTATCTATCAGTTCTCGTTTAGAAGCAGAGATATTATATCATGCTTTAGGATTTCATAAAATACGGGCGAACTGAAGATAAGGTGGTTCCCGAGTAACCAACCAGGGGAACCAGAAATCGGTGCAAAAACTCTAAAGAAATGGCGGTTCTTCGCATTAAGACTTCCTCGAAGTCGAGCTACAGAAAACGAGCGCATTTATCTTCTCGAACCGTTGTTTCTTTAAAGTAAGGAAGGGATGGAATGGCAAAAGCTGCGAGTAGAGATTTTTTTGTTACGGAAGGGACAATACATAACTGGGTAATACCCACGTCTATGTGGTCCTACCGTCATTCGCTTTTGTCGATCTAACTTTGTAATCGCGATTATCGAAATCCCACGGTAAAGGCAAACGAATTATCTGCCGCTTTTCTCGGGATAAGAACGGGATAGTTCTGTTTCGTAAAGCGTTTCCATTGCGTCGTAAAACGACAGACAGTGTAACATTCTCTCACATGCATAGCATGTGACATCGTCTCACTTCACGTCTCTCTTCACACTATCTGATATCGTTGAGTCATGGAAACTCCATTTTCAACACGCGACAACGTCGTTGCACATTCAACAATAAACACGAAGTTTTATTTAAAGAAAATATTACGTTTCAAGCTCGCGTCCTATAACGATCCTTGCACTCGCATTTACTGCATTATGATTAATGCATGCCAAGCGCACCGTTTAGGAATTTGCTTTGTAGTCGTCTTCTGATTAACGAGCAGTATACCTACCTACCACAGCACTTTGTCACGATTAAGTAAAATGGTTACGAAAAAGATAACATGGAGAAAGCTGATGATTCGAAATTTTTATTCAATGGTGTAGTCATTTGTGCGAAGTTGGCGCACAC